CTTTCTTGGAAAAAAACAGAGTTAAAGATGTGTAAAGTATATATAGTATATATAATGGATATATATATTTAATGTGATGTAGAAGTATATATATATATAATGATATATAAGGTATGAGTATAAGTTAGATTAATAATACTTATGGAGGCGAAAGAGAAGAAGTCAGGTAATTTCATAATAGCTCAAAAAATATTTCACATTAAGCAAACCAGCAACAGGAACAAATATGTAACGCACACAAGAATAACAGGAGAGGAGATGCTGGGGGGTAAAAGAAGTGTTAGAGAGTGGGGAGGTAGGGGTAGAGATAAAGGGAGGGGTAGGAATGAAGGTGGGGAGGTGAGAGCGTGTGAGAGTAATTAAGACTTGGCAGGGAAAGGGAAGCTTGCAAGGGAGTGACTTATAAGTCGCTGCCTCCTACACACCTCATCACCACACCACACACAGCACACACACCCACACACACACACACACACCACATCACACACACACCACACACCACACACACACACACCACAACATACAATGTTTTAGTGTGTTGTTTACTCATCAGATCTGATGCTGCAAATAGGTGGCTTTAAAGGTATTTACATTCCTGTGAATTAATTATTGAATTAGCTTATTTGCTCATCTACTAGCGCACTCAATAAATCACTCGCTCATTCACTCCCTCACTCATACATTAATAAGCTCGCTCATTCACTCGCTCATCTGCTCATTCGATCATTTTCTTACTTACGTACACCCACATATTCATTTACTTACTTATTTACGCATTCACAAACACTCATATATTTAGTGACTCATTTACTCACGCCCTCACGCACACATTCAAGAAAGCTTTACCATTATGAACCACTCAACCTTGGTCCTGTCATCTGGCACCCTGCTAAATAATGGCACTGCTCTTGAGCTTCCTCAAGAGGGCCATCTACTTGCCCTCCATTCCACCTTTTCCAATTTGGTCGCTTGAAAAAATCGTAGCAGACTGCAAAAAGAAAATGTACAAGGCTTTGACGGCTATCAGATCAGATAAAACTTTTGGCTGAAGGTTTTGTAGTAACATTGTTGACCATAACTTTTGTTAGGCATTGATCACACTTCTAATTAAAAGTGAATTTTGCTTCGCGGAGAAAAAAATTATTTATTAGGTTTGAAAAAATCGTTCCTTAAAAGAAGGTCCTTGAAGCTAAACGCAAAGTTTAGCGAATCATAAAAAAATAAGTACTGACTGAACACATAAAATTGTATGTGTAAAGTTGCCAAAATATGTAAAATGTGTAAATTGTGTAATCGTCGAGTTCTCAAAAAAAAAGTCTTGACACAGACGAACGAAAAAATGGGATAATAAGAAGTGTATCAACGGTAGAGAACTGCCAGACAAGTGGCTTTAACAAGGTGACGGACACCAGCAACACCTTCAAGCAAAAACGCCCACCCCACTCACCCTCTTTTAATAATGCTCTTCTTCTTCTTTGTTTTCCATCCTCTCTCCTTTGCCTCCCCTTTCTTATTTAGGTTCTCTTATCTCTATTCTTTTCCTTCTCCTCCTCCGTCGGTTTCTATCACCATCTTTTCTTCTAGAACTCTAACCTCCGTCACTTCATGATGAGGCTCACCTGGGTGGCGGGCAACAGGTGGGGCGGACGAGTCAGTGCAGCCCAAAAACTGCTCTCTTAAATTCTGTGCAGCCTGTTGGATGGGCGCCGTCATGGGCGTGGGTGTAGGCGTGGGTGTGGGCGGGGTCTGGCGTCGTGTTTTTGGCCATAGAAAAAGCGAGAACTAAATAGCTTTAGAACATGACGTAAATGTGTGTATGGAATTTATTATATATATATATATTATATATAATATATATATATAATATATATATATATATTATTATATATATATATATATAATAATATATATATATATATATATATATATATATATATATATATATATATATATATATATATATATATATATATATATATAATGCAAAACAACCACTCTGAAAGAATAGAGAAATTCCAAGCGCTTTCGTAACTACTCACATTATCAAGGAACTATGAAAGTAAAGCATCCAAGGAAGCTATATAAGGGGTCTGGCCAGCACCTCACTATCAGATCCCACAACGGTTAAACACCTGACGCGCGCCGACCCAACTTGGATAGGTCCTTTGCACAACTCACCCACAAACTATTCTACCCAAGAAAATTTAAAAATTATTTGTCCAGTGTATTATTAAATTCTTCCCAAATTCTATTATAAATGGATCTAATTTATATAAACCAAAGGAAATATTCATATTATTGTCAAAAGCAGTTTTGACAATAATATGAATATTTCCTTTGGTTTATATAAATTAGATCCATTTATAATTAATAGAATTTGGGAAGAATTTAATAATACACTGGACAAATAATTTTTAAATTTTCTTGGGTTGAATAGTTTGTGGGGTGAGTTGTGCAAAGGACCTATCCAAGTTGGGTCGGCGCGCGTCAGGTGTTTAACCGTTGTGGGATCTGATAGTGAGGTGCTGGCCAGACCCCTTATATAGCTTCCTTGGATGCTTTACTTTCATAGTTCCTTGATAATGTGAGTAGTTACGAAAGCGCTTGGAATTTCTCTATTCTTTCAGAGTGGTTGTTTTGCATATTCTGAAATCACCTGTTTATTGTGATCTTATTGCTATATATATATATATATATATATATATATATATATATATATATAATATATATATATATATATATATATATTATATATATATATATATATATATATATATATATATATATAAAGACAAAAACACACCGGTCTTGTGAAAATTAAATAGCCAAATAGCATCCAGAAATGTGAAAATGGTAGACGCAGTTTTCCGGAACTGCCACAGAATGTCCGCTTTTCTTGCTTACATTTCAGCCTCCTGCATTATTTTGTTTCTTTTTCTCCCATTTTAGCCTGCTCAAGGTTCCTAGCAATTCCGAGAAGTCTTGCCAATCATTTTCCCCCATCTTAGGAGTTGTTATAACCACATAAACAAGTGAAACTTAATTTGAAATCGTCCTGTCCCGTTTCTTGACACTTATATACTTCGCTGTGAGAGAGGTTCTAAGTTCGCCATTTGCAAATACTACAACAATGTTTATTTTTATGTTCATTGCAATTCAGATTATTCTGTGAAGAATAAACAATCAGTGTTTTCAACCATGTTAATAAAATCTTTATATGTCTCCAGCGGTGAATATTTTGATGCAGATATTAATAAAATTTGCGAGACTGCTACTGAATTACAATAACCCTAAAAACCTTCACTGGACTCTCATATGAAGAGTCGTGAAAAGACTCATTTCACGTTAGTTATTAAACTAATTTACCTCAACACTAGCGTTTGGGCTTTCCATACGAGGCAAACTTAATGTTACCCAGGTCGTTAAAGTATTAAACATCAATTTGGTGCTAGGAATGCCTTCACCGTGAGATCTTTACTCTCACACTGGTTTTCTGCTCAGAGTTCCTCTCATGGACGATGATTTAGAATTTTTCTGTACCTGACCGGGACAATGTTCCCACTGAGAATTCGCAGCATCGCCATTCTGTTAGAAATTGACGAGTTTCTAACACTGTTTCAAAATTTCAGAACGATTTTCCATTGTATTAATAAGCACCGTGTACATTATCTATTTTTATTTTCGAATAACCATTCGGAACGAAATATTATCTAGTCCATATTTTAGTTAAACATTATGGAATTAAAAAAAAACCCATAAAGAATCATGGATTCGTTCATTATTAACATAATTTTCATGTTATGTTACCAGATCACAAAGCCTCGATATTTTTCTCTGAAAATAATACATATGCTAATGACAATATATGTGAAATTAGATTTGTACGCTTTTTATTCTGAAGATAAAAATCATAAGAAGCACTGCACTTATTTCCATGTTCATTCATAGAACCTAACTCTGTATAAGTCATGTTATGCTATTCAATTTAATTACTTAAAAAATTTGTCATTTAATTACAAGTAATTGCGACACTTTGTTGTGTTTCTCTGACGTGTTTACCACCAATTATCGCAAATGTTACATACAAGAAATAATTCAGAATATTATATATTTTACCCGTTTTACACTGTATAACTCTAGAATGTATATATATATATATATATATATATATATATATATATATATATATATATATATATATATATATATATATATATATATATATATATATATATATATATATATATATATATATATATGTCGTGTCGAATAGGTGAAACTGGTCAATTACTAAGAACTCATTTTAAATTATGTCCTTTCTAAAACTTTCTCTTATACGTTAAAAAATAATTTTTTCATTTATCTTAATGTAAAAATCAATAATTTTTTGCCAAAAGAACCTTAGAAAACATGCCTATCCTTATTATAGCAATTTAATTTAGCCTAATTCAACTAAATATATTTTAATGAGTTTACAATAATTTAGAAATAAACAAACACAATGAAATATATATTTTTATCGTTTGGTTCAGAATGACAAACACAAATTTTCGCTTGTGTTATATGGCAAGAAGAGCGTTGCTATTTAAGCCGAAATCACAAGTTTTACCTATTCGGTACGAATTAATATATATATATATATATATATATATATATATATATATATATATATATAATATATATATATATATATATATATATATAATATACATATACATATGTGTGTGCGTATGTATGTGTGTGTGTGTGTGTGTGTGTGTGTTTGTGTGTGGGTGTGTGTGTGTGTGTGTATGTGTGTGTGTGTGTGTGTGTGTGTGTGTGTATGTGTGTGTATGTGTGTGTGTGTGTGTGTATGTATGTGTGTATGTGTGTGAATGTGTGTGTGTGTGTGTGTGAATGTATGTGTGTATGTGTGTGAATGTGTGTGTGTGTGTGTCTGTGTAAACTTGTGAACATCACTAAATCGTCCACATGTTTGTTTCACAGTACATACACAGCTT